GGGGGGGGGGGGGGGGGGGGGGGGGGATGACAGTGGGCCTGGTCAGGGCCAGCAGGGGAAGCCCAGAATGGGGGGGGAGGGAGGTGGAGGGGGGAGGATTCTTACCTTTCAGTCCTCCAGGCTCCTGCTGGCCCAAATGTACGACTTCTCCAAACTTAAGCTAGCACTAACACCAATCACCATTTGTGCAGCTCACAGTGCAATGTGTAACAAAGCTCTCAGCCACCTTTCAAATGACTGTGTGACCACATCACCAAAATAAGTCTCAAAATCTGGTGGTCGTTTTTTTGTTTTTTGTTTTTTTTCTTTTTTGAAACTCCTCTCAGGAAGCAAGAAGTGGCAAGAAAACTGAAATACCCTCCTGTAGCATTCATTTGTATTTCATTTGAGAGGGACATTTCACGATTTTCTTAAGATTCATAGTCACTATGGTCTCTACATATGGAAACCATTCTGTTGCCATTCTTGCCATAGACCATGTACCCAGACACAACAGTAATGCCTAAAATACCTAACTCCATGTGATGACTGTAGGTGTTGTAGGGCTTGCTGCCACTGCCCTGATCTCGTTTTCCTACAGGCGGTAACAGGGTGGACCTCGGCTTCAGATCACCTGGTCTGCCAGAAAGCTCATCTTATGTTTCTCGTCTGCCATGACTTTGATGATATTATATTGCTAGGAGGCAATGCCCAAGGTGATCCTACCAGATCTCAATCCCTGTTTTCTTCTGTGTGGCTCCAAACCTCCATTTTACCTTGCCCTAGACTCTCCAGATGGCACTCAAAGTTTTCTGCAGCCAGATCTTAACGCTGTGTGTTGGTCTACTGTTCCACCCTCAGCCACCAGGCTGACCATTGGCTTTAGTTAGGCGCACATCCTTCCAGGGGCTGACCCTGGCTTGCACTGAAGTATCCAAAAAAAAACAAAAGCAAAACCCGACTGCTCTCAGTCTCTTTGTCAGACTCAGTCCATGTCCCCTTCACCTGGGGTCAGGCTCCATCCAAATCACAACAACAACAACAACAATCAGTTAATCCAGTCACTGCTCTGCACAGGCCTGCCCCAGCTTATTACTACAGAGAACTCGCAGTCCCAGTGGGGCAAGGATCTAACCTGAAAAAAGCAATTCTTCTGGCGTCTCCCCCAGATCTTCAGTTGTCACTCCACTCCAGGGATTATCAGAAGCCTTGTGTGTGCAGACCTGCACCTGCCTCCTTCTCTGGGTCACACCTGAAGCTTTCTCCCAGGTTTCACAACACTTGCCTGCCAGGATGCTCAGCCACTCCTCTCTCTGCAGCTCACAGGGAATCAACCCCACTCTACCCCTCTCTGGGACCGGAAATACCTCTGAGCAGCCTCCCTCCTCCAATCTGGAACAAGATGCTGCTCCAGAAGTGTGGCGATTTTTTCTCTTCCCTTCCAGTCTCCAGCTGCAGCCCCACCGCCCTACATGCTGTAAGTGTCGCTTACTTTCACTTTCCCTGTCTGTTGCTGCCGGCTGCTTTTCTTCTCCTGACCACCCCCCTACCCCACATGTAAGACACCTAAGCCCTAAGCACAAATCTGAACATAAACCTGTTACTAGTACCTAAAATAATGCCAAATCCATACACTTGGCAAAATTTAACCTTCTACTTAACAGCAAAACTAAAACAAACCACCCTGAATATTTAATTAACACTTAAATAAAATACCATATTTGACTTTATTTGGATGTTCATTGATAAGTTCATATTTCTGTTTAACCTAAGCCATATATAGAATTACTAATAAAAAAAATCTGTCTCCATATATACTGGAACTGTGCTTCCAATCATTATATCCTACAAAAGTGCTGTGAAGTTCTCTCTTGAATCAAGGTAAATCATAGAAAGTTATGTTTGGAAGGGACCTCATGGGTCATCTAGTCTAACCACCTGCTCAAAGGAGGACCATCCCCAACTAGATCATCCCAGCCAAGGCCTTCTCTACCCAGGACTTGAAAACCTCCAAGGATGCAGATTCCACCACCTATCTGGGTAACCTGTTCCAGTGTTTTACTAACCTCCTAGTGAGAAAGTTCTTCCTAATATCAAACCTAAATTTCCCTTGCTGCAACTTGAGACCATTGCTCCTTGTTCTGTCATTTGCTACCACTAAGAACAGTCTAGCTCCATCCTCTTTTGAACCCCTCTTCAGGTAGTTGAAGGCTGCTATTAAATCATCCCACAATCTCCTCTTCTCTAGATTACATAAGCCCAGTTCCCTCAGTCTTTCCTCCTAAGTCATGTCCCCCAGCCGGCTCACCATTTTTGTTGGCTTCCATTGAACTCTTGCTAATTTATTCACATCCTTTCTGTAGAGGGGGATCCAAAACTGAACACAGTACTCCAGATGTGGCCTCATCGGTGCTGAGGGGAATAATCACATCCCTTAACCTACTGGCAACACACATACCAATGCAGCCCAGTATGCTGTTAGCCTTCTTGGCAACAAGGGCACACTGCTGGCTCATATTCAGCTTCTTGTCCACTATAACCCCCAGGTCTTTTTCTACAAAGTTGCTGCTCATCCAATCAGCCCCCAGCCTGTACTGATGCATTGGACTGTTCTGTCCTAAGTGCAGGACTTTGTACTTGTCCTTACTGAACCTCATGAGATTCCTTTTGGCCCAATCCTGCAATGTGTCCAGGTCACTCTGAATCCTAGCCCTACCCTCCAGCATATCTACTGCTCCCCGCAACTTGGTGTCATCTGCAACCTTGCTGAGGGTGCACTCTATGCCATTGTCCAAATTGTTGATGAAGACATTGAACAAAACTGGCTCCAGGACCAACCCCTGAGGCACTCCACTTGATACCAGCTGCCAACTAGATATCAAGCCATTGATTACTACTCTCTGAGCCCGTTGTTCCAGCCAGTTTTGTATCCACCTTACAGTCCATTGATCCAGCCCATACTTCCTTAGCTTCCCTACAAGAATGCTGTGGGAGACCATATCAAAAGTCTTGCTAAAAGTCAAGGTACATAACATCTACCAGTCTCCCCACATCAACTTAACTGTGTGGCTGCAGCACAGTCCTTTCCACCCACCACTGCCGAAAACAGCTGTCCCAATCTCTGCCCGTTTGCTCCCTGCAGGTGTGGACCAGTGTAGTATACTCCTCCTTAGTGGTGTTTCCTGTCTTCCATCCATTATACGCTGCTCTTTTTAGATGTAGGAGGTCCATGAGTTCCCTGTTGAGCCAAGGGGGCTGTTGAGCCCTTTTACCACCTTTCCTACAGGTGGGGATGGACTCCCCTTGTTCTTCTAGGATCACTTCCTTAAGGAGCAACCATTCATCATGAACTCCCCTCCCTGTGAAATCAGGGTCTCTCAGGGCCTGAAGAAGCCTCCTGGGCTTATGAAGGTCAGCTTTCCTAAAGTTGAGGACTACTGCATTGCTAGCAGACTTGCCAGCTTTGCGACAGATACGGAAAGTGATCAACTCATGATCACTGTCACCCAGCTTCCCTTTGATTCTTAGGTCGCTGATTAGATCATCCCCTTTGGCCAGTACCAGGTCCAGCCTCTTGTCGGTCTATAAACTTCTTGGGACAGGTAGAGCTCATCCACACATGTAAGGAAGCTTTGTGACCAATTGGATTTGGCTGAATGCTCATCGCATGAGACGTCCGGGTAATTGAAGTCTCCCATGATGACCATGCACCAAGAGCATGCAGCCTTGGCCACTTCCCTGGCGAATTCTTGGTCAAGCACTTGTTCCTGATTTGGAGATCTGTAGTAGACTCCTACCATTGTATTCCCTTCACTACATTCCCCATGTATTATAATCCAAAGAGTCTCTAGTCATCTTCCTTGGGTGCCAATCTAAGCTTGTAGGGAACATGTAGCTCTCCTTCACATAGCGAACTACACCCCGCCCCTTTTTTCAACACAATCTCTCCTGTACAGGGTATAGCCATTTTATACTGGTGGTCCAGACACAGGAGGAGTCCCATCAGGTCTCTGTGACCCCTATGAAATCATAGTCATTTTTGCTTAGCAGGACCAGTTCCTCCTGTTTATTCCCCAAACTTCTAGCATTAGTATAGAGGCAAGTAAGTGTGCCATTGGAGACCCTAAGCTTCCTTGTACTCACAGAGAACCTCTGTTCCTGAGCTGGGGGAGGAGTGGGTTCCCTTGAGCATCCTAACCTGCTGGTTTTTCAGCTGATGCTTTGCGACCTTGCTCTGGTGGTTGTCCACGTATCCCCCAGTGTGTCTGAGGGCATGTCGAGTTTGTCTGAGCCCAATAACTTCTTGCTCACAGCAGGGGACTGGACTTGATGATATTACAGGTCCCTTCTGGTCTTATGATTCTATAAACCAGAGGCATACCTCAAAATTTTGGTGCCCTTATTGGTGGTGTAAGAGATGCTGAGTGTTCACCCTTCTGTGCACATGGGGCCAATGGTTCGAGTGGACTGCTACTGCAGCATACCCTCTGAGTCAGTGCTTGGTACTTGTGTCTTGCTCACCCACCTCTGGTTACACTACTTAAGTAAAATGTTGTGCAGGGAAGTGTTGCTAATTTCAAACATTTACAGGACGCCTGAAATTACTTTACAGCTACTTCCGTGGGGATATAATGTTTCTAAAACCTATTTACAAAGTTATAAGAGACATAAAGCAAATCAGACTTTTGGCATTTTAGAGCTCTCTGAACAGTTGTTAACCATGTTATCAAAAGCACTGGAGAGAGGTGGTTAGCCATGTTTAGTCTGAAGTCAGTGAGAAGGTAGGTTAGACATGCAGTTTTACTGACTAATCAAACATAGTGTGTATAGACATCAAGAGTGTGCACAAGCTTTTGTGAACCCCAGTTCACTATTTCAGACTAACTCAAAAAAACTAGCTATAAAAGCTTCTAGTATCCCCGTGCATAGCTTTCTCAATATCAGTAGCCTAATTTTTATGTAAATATCTCATACCACTGTGTTACATACTTTGGTCACATGAATTATGGAAAAGCTTGCGACAGCGCACACATTTCTAGGAGAGATCATGTGGCATTTAGACTGCTCATTTGCAAGGTACTTACAACATTCTCTCAACATTCCCTTACATTCTCATTTTCATTAGAGCTGCTCATTCAGTAGTGCAACTGGCAAGTTGCTTATTTCACACATCAATAGCATGCCAAAAATTATTATTGAGTTTATATATTTGATCAAGCATTTGCATCTAGGAGAAAAAAACTCCAACTGCATTTATAATGACTACAAAAATTCTGATCTTATTCATTTTCTAGTAATTTATTATAAATTGTGGTGTCAGATAGAGCCAAAAACAATCACCTACATTTTTTTTAATCACAGTGGACATTCGATTTCAGCAATATTATCTAAATCTGTCTCTAACTGCCATTCACAAGGTTATAAAGTGGCCCTCAAAAACAGGCCAGCTATGCAGACATGATTAAAATAGCTGTCTCAGAACACCCATTTGCAGTTGAAGGGATTTTTTTACTACTTCACCTGAAGCAATATATACCAGCTCAACAAATACAACTCTAACTCTGACTGATGCCAAAAATTTGGCTGGATACAGCAACTGTTCATCTTCAAAGGCAATCATCCCACACTGCAAACATGAAAAACAGTATACATGTTTTGCATTACTTCACAAATAGCTGAACCTGACATTATACTCACTGATAGCTCTCTTTGAATCTTTAGTATGCCATACAAGAAAGCAATCATGAATACTTTTAATACAGTTGTTTAAACAACACCATCAGCATCTTCCTTTTTAATTAAAAAAGTTCAATTTTAGGTGGGTGCTCAGAAGAAACATGTTACAACACAGAAATAAAGGGTATATGCTTAAAACATTTCACTTGTGAAATCTTTTATTTGAAATAAAATAATGACAATGGGCAGTATGATAACAATGGGGCTCCTGATGGACATTGCACTTAAGATGTGATTAACTGGTTAATCATGTTTTAAGTAATGACCTGACCACACATTTGGTCAATTAATCACAGGATAAAATGACAAGCCAGCCACAAAGTTGTTACATAAAATGAGTAATAACTTTGGGACTGGTTCCTATCACACCTTTAATCGAACACGTGGCCAATGCCTCTGGAACACACAGGACTCCTTGGGCATTTATACACATACCTTTGTGCGCTCCAACGCACTGGAAATCCAGTGCGGAGCCTGCAAAGCACACAAGTCCGCCGAGCACGTGAACTGATGCGCCCAGCGCTGCGTCACATGCATGTGTACAAATGTCCTTTGTTCCCTCAACTGGGAGCCCCACCAGCTGATCAGAGCTCCCAGCCACAGGAATGTACCCTGCACTTCTGCGACTGGGAACCATCTAATCAGGGCTCCCAAGTAGGAGAACAGAGACACGCTTACTACTTGGCAGTGCAAGGGGAGTTTAGGATCAGGCTTCTCCTGCACCAGCAGTATGGTGCAATGGAGCTGATACAGGGTCTCATGTGTGATCGCAGATGTCACACGACAGGAAGCAAGATTGGTAGCATTCTGTATCAGATCCCACTGCACCTTTACTTTAACATCTGTCAGGGGCCTGGAAGTCATAACTAGGAAATATTTGGGTTTGGGTATGGTGATGATTATAAGTGTTTGGCTATAAACAGACATTGTCCTTGGAGTGGAATTACCTGTTCTGCGATGTGTTGCAGCTCATCCACTTCACTGGGTGACACGGACATTGCTTGATGTTCCACAAGGTCACACCCCTGCTGCTCCTATGGCTGCAAAAGGGGGAGCTGACTCAAGGCACCACAGTGTAGTATGCACGCTCAGCAGAATCCCCTGCCAAGGGATTTCAAGGGCCTGTGAAGCCCTGCAAACACCTGCCCAATGTTGTCCTATTTGCACTGGCATGCTATGAATCAGGATGTAGTAGTTCATATACATGTTGAGGGAATTCCTCATGAGGGAATCTGCAAGTGAGGAACCCAATCAGGCACTCCTAAGCTTTCAGGGGCTTGATCCAGCATGTCCTGGGACTACACCTTCAAGGGAATTCCTAAGGCACACAGGATCAGGGCCCTGAACCCCCAGGACTGTCTGCTTTGAGTGGCTGGAGAGCACAATAGTTCCAGGCTGCCCATTCTCCTACCATGAAGCAAAGACACCCACCACAAAAAAGGCTAAATTTATACTATCTATTGTCCCAGCCACAATGTTGGGCAGTGGTGGTGTGGACTTCAACTTTGTACAATCACAACAATTTTTATGGTGGCACAAAAATAACATCTGCTTTCAGCCTTAGTGCCTTCCAGAAATGGATGCAGGATTTTACAGTGGGGTGCAGTTGCAGCAACTGGTGCTGCAGGGATGGCTTCATGGCTTCAACCCCTGCCTCTAGCCTCCTCCAACCCCTCCCTCCCACTGGGGTGAGCAGAGCATGCCACAGGCGCAGCAGCCAGGAACTTAAGTCCCAAGGAAGGCATGAATTCCCACCCTCCCTTCCACCCAAATGCTCAGATATATGTCTCCTTCCGCTCCCTCTCCACCCTCTGCCTGCCACTGCTGATGTCTGCACCTTCCCAGAGAGGAGGAGAGATCCTGTCCAGCTCCAGCCAGGCTGCAGAGGGGTTGCATTCAACCAGGACCATGGCACCAATGGTAGTGGCTGGAGGGCATATTCCCCTTTCCTACAGCTAGGACTATCTGCATCTGCACAAGAAAGAAAAGAGGATGCAAAAGTCCCTTACGCGGCAGCCCACATCTGCCATCCGAATTGGGATGCAGTGTGTGGCCTTAGAGAATGTGGTGTTTGCAGAACCATTGGTTGCTGCCTTCTTCCAGTATGTAAGGAATGAGTAGGTAAGATTATAGTCAAGAGCTACAGCTCCAAAACCCAGTAAGTCAGATTATGTGCATACTGGAATACTTGGGGTAAGTCTCTATGGTGCAAACAACACTATGTAGCTACCCTGAGCTGGCTTCGGCCAGGCTGGCTCCTATACTGAGGCATTATAGCTGCATTAGTTCAGCTCTGGGCCTGGGCTACTTACTTGTTCTTTTTTTTTTGATACCTCTGTGTAGCACTGCCTTGTTCCATACAGTCATAACCTCTGGGCCTTCTTGCCCATCATCTAGATAGGAGAAGGAATTTGTTATTTGCGTTTTCCTTTCCTATACAGAACTACAGGAGACAGAGGAAAACTGAAGCCAGACTGTGACTTGTGATGCTCTCTACTCCTTGGGCACTCCCCCATTTCTCCTAGGGTTATATACTGACGACCTTCACCATGGTATTTCA